AACGTGCTCTGTTCAAAATTAAACTCCTTTGAGATCAATAGGGCGTACTTCTGAGAAGACAAGCCAACCTTTCTGAAGTTGATGGCCTCCCCGTTGATATTTTGTGGAGACGGCAACAGCCTGGCGAATCAAGATGGCAGTCACAACCAGTCAATGTCCCACCTTTTGTACATGTGTGCGATGATGGGCTGTGGCTTTGCAGCCCCCATTGTGACATTTTTAATCTTCTCCATGATGTTCCTCACAACAACCCGTGCTGATGCTGGTTCTCATATGGACAATCAAGGCTGGAATTCCATTTCTGTCATTCTTCACCTGTCTTTCATAATTCTGTTCCATCTCCTGTCTGGCTGAATCCATGATTGCTGTTTGTTTATTCATATAAAATATGTGTTTTTTTGTAAGGGGTTACTTGTTTTTCTCAGTCTTTTGGCTAAGATGAAGGTCAAGATCTGAGGAATCGTGTCTATTTAGAAAGGTTTTTACAGGATAATGTTCTGTTTCCAGCAGCGTCCACAGGCAGGGTTAAAATCAGGAAGATGGTGGACAGAAAGACATGATGTAAGCCCTGCCCCTTTTGTACATGCAGTGACATCACACACACACACACAGATTCAAAGAGGGCAGGGCTCCCATTGCAATACTCTGTCCATTATCTTGATGATATTGACCCTTCCTCCCCCTCCCTCCTCTCCAGACACTGTTGTGGGTTGCTGTTGTTGATAAACTAAAGTGCAGAAGGTTTTCCTTTGAGGGGCTCCTGGATTTTTATGCTTAGATAAACTTGTGCTCTGTAGATAACTATTGTAATAGCTGAATCCTGAGATATAGTTCCAATCACTTTGCTGTTCTGGTTAGGCAGGGTAGGAATGAATTGAGTACAGTGGCTTGGACTAAGGAGGAATCTGGCCATTTCAGAGAGAGACGCTCTTTACCAGCACAGTGGAAGAATCTGCTCTGGGATCTTTGGGGAACCTCTACCCCTCTCCAGCTCCTGGGAATCTCCATGGACATCCCAGATGTTCCAGCTGCTCCTTCATGCACACTTCCATGCTGGTGTTCCTGCCCCCCCGCAGGTGGCCGAGTGTCAAGCCTTGTAGCCTCTGCTTGTTGCCTTCTAGACAGATGTTACTCTTTTAATTAAGAGCATTGGTGGCAATAAAACCCCCATCGAGGCCATGAAGGATTCATAGCCTTAAGCGCTGCTCCGCCTTATGCAGGAGTAGCGATGCAGTCAAGAGGAACTAATGTTAAATGAAGTCAGGAGATATATGAGTTCAGTGAAAGACCCGTCCCTTTCCTGTCCTCCTCACATCATATTTCTGCCTTGGGTTAATTACTCATCACTCAAGCTTGCAAGGTTTTATGCCCCACTGCCACCTCTGTCGCCCCAGTTGCTATCTTTAAAGCTCTTTCTTCAAGCCCAGGATTAAAGAGACAGGAAAAATGGATTGTGTGAAAGGATAGCTCTTGTTTGCAGAAATTGATTTTGATTTTTTTCCCCCCTTGACCAGACAATGGGCCTATCTCTCCCCGCTCCTTCAAAACGTTGGGATTTAAAGTGGAGCCCCCGTGGAGTAGAGGCGGCCGTGGAAACAAAGCCTCCCCTTTAAAGCACCACGGGCATCGGGATGGCATTGAACTCGCATTTGTGCATTGAAGAATATATGCAATGTGGCTTTTGCCTATTAAACAGGCAGAATTCTTTTTTTAAAAAATGCGTGGGGAATCGTAAAAAAACCATGTACGTGGCACAGTCAAAAGGGGTAGCATAAAGCAAATCAAATTATGACAATCGGAAGTGAGAATCAGACAATGAAACTTCCGTGGCTACTAAAGCTTTAGAGAGGCAGGCCTGAAGTTGTGGCTTCGGTGTGAAAAGGATGGCTAGGGCACTTGGAAATCTGAGACAGAGACACCCAAGGGAGCGATGCTCAACTATAGAAAAGCACGTTAGGGGAGAAGGCCGCTGTTTGTGTACTTCTGTAGCATTGATTAAAAAGACCAGACAGGCCTCCAAATAAGTTCGTGTTTATTGCTCTCCACTGGACTGATCTCCTGAACTTGATCATGGAGGAAGGGCCCCCAGGTAGCCTCCAACATGGGGCAAGATTTCGACTGCAGCGTTTTCTTCTTGTACACAAAATCTCATCACAACTGCTATTTCTGCAGGATGCTGCACCATCCTGGGTCCTCTTATCTGAGAAGAATACTTCACCCGCATGGTAACCATGTTGGTAAAAAAAAAAAAAACAGAGACTGAGATGTTGATTGTAGAAGCCCGCTGGTTAGCAGCTAATTGTGTTTACTTTGCTCAGAGATAAATTGCCGTGTAACTCGATGTTCACTCCAATGTCATAGGCAGAAATCACAGGGTACTCTAACTGGAATTGAGCATCAGCTGACTGAGACAAAGGCCTCCCTCCGCCTAAGGCATGTGGAGCTTGGGTTTCTCCAAGCCATTCTGCACCAAGGAACAAAATTCAAACTGAGTGTGGGCAGGAAATGAAATCCCAAGGTTTTGTCATGGAAAGGCAGCCTCAAGGGACTACAGTATGGGTTCCAAGAATCAACTCTGTGTGTGTGTGTGTGTGTGTGTGTGTGTGCGCGCGCGCGCGCGCGCGCACGCAGGCATGTGCAGGTGAGCATGGAAAACAGAACTGTGATGGCTCTTTCCTCCCCTTCCCCTTCCCCTTCTCCCTACCTCTTTTCTCTCTCTCTCTTTCTCTCCTTCCTCCCTTCCTTCCCTTTCCCCTCCCTCCTTCTTCCCTCCCTCCCTCCCTCCCTCTCATCAGTGTTACCAGGCAGACCAGACAGGAAACACAACCAGATGAGCTAATTTTACTTTATTGTAAGGTTACATTAACAGAATCTTGCAAGTCTGAAAGTACAATCCCCCCTTGTCTCCTTTACAGCCCAAGAAACTAGGGAGGGTCTCTTCTGAGCCTCTTGCCCCACCCATTATCCAGTTACCGGGTATGCTGTCTCTTGTCTGACTGTTCCCTTGGGAGCATCTCTTCGCCCAGTCTCCCAAGGTCTTTCCCACATACCAGTACTCTTCCCCTTCCCCTTCCCCTTCCCCTTCCCCTTCCTTCCCTCCCTCCCTCCCTTCTCTTCCTCCTTCCTTCCTTCCTTCCTTCCTTCCTTCCTTCCTTCCCTCCCTCCCTCCCCCCCCCCCCCCCCCCCCCCCCCCCTCTCTCCTTTTTTTCTTTTTTTTT